AGAGCCCGGCCAGCCCCAGACCGCCTGGTCTTCCTCTTCTGACCTCATCTGTAAAGATGGGACCGTCATACCCTGACCCCACCAGGCTGGTGGGTCTTGTTTTGTTTTTGAGCGGGAGTCTCACTCTGTCGCCCAGGATGGAGTGTGTGGCACGCTCCCGGCCACGCGGCCTCGCCCTGCTGGGCTCCGGCCATCCTTCCGTCTCAGCCTCCCGAGTAGCTGGCACCACAGCCACGCACTACCACAGCCGGCTAATTTTTTGATTTATGGTCGAGATGCGGTCTCGCCAAGTTGCCCAGGCGGGTCTCGAACCCCTGGGTTTTGGCACCCCTCTCGCTGCGGCCTCCCAAAGTGCCGGGATTACAGGCTTGAGCCACCGCTGCGGCTCCGGCAGGTACTGAGCGCTTCCCACGTGCTAACACGTTTCTACCTGTTCTCCCGAGCATCCCCACCGGGTGCGGATATTACACCCACTTGACAGGTGTGGGAAGGAGAAAGGAACCCAAGGTCAAACATCTTCAGACCCAACCCGGGGATTCCAGCGTGGCTCTCTTTTTTATTCATTTATTTTTAATTTTAATCAATATTTTTTATTTTGATATTGTGGGGTACAGTTAAAGGTTAGGTATACAAATAGGTTTTGTTCAGGCACCCTTGTTGATGAGGGGTGTCTCCCTGTCCCCAGACAGATACTGACTACCGTTAATCCCACCTCCCTTCCACGCCCCCCCCATAGTTTCCCACCACTGTCAGTCCTTTTCTTATAGTATTACGACAGATGTTCAAGGTCCACTATATGAGTGAGAACACGTGATACTCAGATCTTTGTCTCAGTACTATAGACTCTAGTTCCATCCAGGTTGCTGCGAAATTCATGATTTTGTTCTCTTTTATGGCTGCGCAGTATTCCATCGTGCATATGTACCACATTTTTGTAATCCAGTCCTCTTTTGATGGACAGTATGGTTGGTTCCAGGTTCTTGCCACTGTGAACGTAGTGTGGCTCTCTTTAACCCGGGAGTCAGGGTTTTTATCACTGTCACCTGTATAACCGCTTTGGCACCAAAGTCTCGTTTTAGACTGATCCAGTCTTCATCTCTCCATCACCCGGACCATGGCTGCAGGGTCGGGGCAGTGTCTTGTGATATTGATGGGATAAGACGATTCTGCTGGAGGTTTCTCTTGCCCATGCCAGCTCTTGCATGTCTCTCTATCGCTCCTCTTTTCCTTCTCTAATAAACTTTGTTTGAAAACTTAAAAAATAAAAAGATGCTTCTGCTTCCCATAATTGGGAAATGCAACGCCTTTGTTGAGATATCATTTACATACCATAACAAGTACCCATTTAAAGCGTCCAATTCTATAAGTTTTAATACATTCTCAGTGCAGCTATCTCATAGTGCAACTCACACTGTAATCTAATTTCCAACATGTTCTTTACTCACAAGGAAGCTTGTACCCACTAAGCAGTCAATACTCATCCCACCTGCCCAGCCTTTGGCAACCGCTAATATGCTTTCTGTTGCTACAGATTTGCCTATTTCATGGAAGTGGAATCATGCAATTTAAGCATTTGTCTTTTTTGGTCTGGCTTCTTCCACTTAGTGTAATGTTTTCACCCATATTGTAGCCTAGATCAGTACTTTATATCTTTTCGTGGCCAAATAATATTCCATTGTATGGATAGACTACATTTTGTTGATCTATGCATCAGTGGATGAACTTTTGCGTTGTTTCCACTTTTTGGCTATTATAAAGAGTGCTGCTGTGAGCATTTGTATACAAGTCTTTATGTAAACACACGTGTGATAGTATGTTCCTAGCTCATAACTCTCTTACAGATTGTTACAGTCTTTTGTTATAATGCTGGGGCTTGAGGTCTTGGGACACAGAATCTCTTCTCTCTCTGACCTTCTCCTGTCCTCTTTACAGCTGCCCAAGGCAGGACTCTAACCTGATTGTGGACCCTAAAACCCTTCTTCCAGAGAGGATTCCTTCATGCTGTACAGAGACAAGTCTGCACAGACAGCCCCTGCTGGGTTTAGATCATTCCCTTTTTGTCCAATTTCACTTTGACACTGTTGTCCATGCTTCAATCATGGACAACCAATGAAGTTTCTATCAAAGATACAAAAGTTTGGGGAGCTTCCGGAGAGCTGACCAGGAAGGTAAAGGAACTCATCCATGTGTAGGTGGTGCACGCTGACTCCATGGGGACAGAGACCTGTGTTCTCCGAGCCCTTCCAGACCTCGCCCTGCGTGTTCCTTCATCTGTATCCTTTAAAACAGCTTTCTTAATAAATCCCCAAGGTAAGTGTTTCCCTGAGTTCTGAGAGCTGCTCTAGTCAATTCATCAGAGCCAAAGGGGGTTAGGGAACCCCAACTTGAAGTCAGTTGGTCAGACATAGAGGCCTTGACTTTTTTTTTTTGAGTCAGAGTCTCACTCAATCACTCAGGCTGGAGTGCAGTGGCACGCTGCTCACAGCCACAGCAGCCTCCATCTGCCGGGCTCAGGCGATCTTTCCTCCTCAGCCTTCCAACTAGCTGGAACTACAGGTGTGCACCACCATGCCCAGTTAATTTTTTGATTTATTGTAAAGACAAGGTATCACCAAGTTGCCCAGACTGATCTCGAACCCGCGGGCTCAGGCAGTCCTCTCACCTCTGCCTCTCAAAGTGCTGGGATTACAGGCGCGAGCCATTGCACACAGCTGGCCT